GAGAGAAGCAGCGCGCTTGCGAGCATCGATGTTCTCGGATACAGGAGTGATCTTAACCATCTCCGAGGGGTTGAGACCATAAGACTGAAGGAAAGCACTAACTCTGCCAGCCTCGTTCATGGGGTGGATGTTGAGGACATCACCAAGAAGATAGGGAAGATCCTGACCATCCTCCAATTCGAAGCGCAAATGACGAATATCCCTCTCGTAGTCGCTGGGAGTGAGACGATCGTTCTTCTTCAAACCAAGCTGAATAGTTTGAGGAGGCATGATCCTCTCATAAGGAGCAACCACGACTTCATCAGAGTCAAGCTCACGAACCTCGAACTGAGAGTCGGGAATGGACCCGTCATCAACAGGCTCAGGGGCATTCACAGACTTCCAATAACTCGGCATCCAATCCTCAAAGGCAGTCTCATACTTGTCCTCATCCTGATCGTTACCGAGACCAATGGCAACTGTCCTTTGACCGCCCATCTGAGCGAAGATATCGTCAATTCTCTTGGCAGCAGTGCAGAAGTGATGATAACTGGAGTCACCCAAAGCAAAGACACCGTATTGGACACCGTCCAACAGATGAGCATTGGAGTTGTCCTTAGCAGCAAGCTGCAACTGCGCAGTGAAGTGAAGGGCAGTCCTAGGAGTGGTACCCTCACCAGTAGTAGCGCAAAGAACCATAAGGTTCTTGTTTTCAGGGAGCTCACTCACGTCCATCTCATCGCACTCCATGACCTTCACAGCGTAACCACGCTGACGGGCCAGTTCAGCAACACGATAAGCCAAGGCCTCGGTAGTACCGGTCTCGGTGCCGTACAGAAGAGTCAGCGGAACACCATTAGAGATATCTTCCTGACCCAAAGCAGCCCATCTCTGGTACTTGCTGTAACGTTCACGGACCCAAGCATCAAGCTCAGAGCTGTACTTCTTGTACAGATCGGCATCACGCTTCTTCAAAGCACCGAAACGCATCTCGTTGTCGAGGACAGCATCAACACCCATGGTGAGCTTCTTGGTATCAAGAACGAAGGGGTTCTTGCCCATCCTCTTCAACATCGGGTTATAACGATAGATCGGGAAGTAGCCGGAAGCAGCACGGTCGCTGATGCTGCATAGTACGAGTCATACCAT